TTATTTAATACGTCATCCCTGATCAGATGTATAATTTTGTGGCAGTAGTAATTTTCCATTTGTCATTTCACAAGATCTCCACAACCTTAAAAATAGAAGTGTTAAGTTCTTTATAATGCATAGGATCCACAGGTAGTGGAAGACCACAAGCTTCTTTAGCTAACGAAGCGGATAGTATTTATTTATTTATCAATAACGAAATAGTTTTGTTCTTAATCCCTTCTTTCTGTATATTATCACTTACTAAATACACGTGTAATATAAACTGGACTTACATAAAACATCAAAGTTAAGATGAAATCTGTGAACAAGTTTAATATTGTAATTTCAATCCGGCGTTGTCCGAGTCGGAAGAACATCAGATTTCAGTTCGAAATCCGGAATCAGAACTCGCGGATAGAAGCTTAATCCAAAAACACTGTTTTATTTTTGGTGTCGAGGCAACGACGCGACGCCCCGGTACAAGCGTGATCGAACGTTTTCAACATTACGCGTTACGCGTTACGCGCTACGCTTCATCTTGTTCTAGGATAAAAATGGGAGCGAACAATTGGATTTCCACGCGTAATGCATCGATTACCTGCGACGAGTTCTAATAGCGACGTGAACGCCGCTGCATGCAGCTTTTCTAAGTCGTGCTATTTCCATCCGAGAGAAATTCTACGAAATAAAATTACCGTCCTTCGCGTGACTCATGTCAGCCAATGATTCATTCGTCAATGAATCATTAAAGTGGAAAAGCGTACCGGTAATACAAGAGCAAACGGTCTTAATTTTAGTGCATTCGAAGATAAAGATGTTTATCACAGTGACGTAGGTGTTGCATCTTCGGATTGAGAAATCAATACAGTAAACGTATTTACTTTGTGTATAACGCGTGGCTCGGTAATTCGCCGATCTGGCGTGCGCGTCGTGTCTCTAGAAATGGCGAGTTTTTCCCTTCAAGCAAACGCGCGTAACGCTTCTCTATCCGTCTCCCGCATGGAATCACACGTATTGTACATCGGCTTGACTTCCCCCGCGGCTCAAACAAATGGAAAGTATTTATCAAGTACAGAGCGACTCGCGATTTAACATCTACGATCCGCGTTCAGGGACGTACCTCCTGCACACTCCGACTATTTCTTTTCTACTAAATAAAAAAATTCGTACAAATACATTTCATTTTCTTAATCCCCCTCAAGAGTGAAAATTCCCCCATTTCTAAAAATGCAGAAATTGCTTCGCAGTACTTTTATAACATGACATTTTGCAATCAGAATCAGTTTATCTCCTCTGTTTTAAGAGGTATTGCAAAACAAGGAAAAACACATTTTACCCTATTATCACTCTGAGAGGTAGAATTTCAAAAAATCCTACTTCAGTGAGCACCTACAACACGGTAGGAAAGTATTATCAAAATTTCAAACAGATTGGTACTTCAGTTTCTGATGAGTCAGTTAGCAAGCTCTTTTATGTATGTACATATAGACATAACTGTTCGAGAAATGCATTCAATTTAAATTATATAGTTTAATAAGTGTACAAATTTATATTTCAATATATAGTTTAAGATGTACAATATTTTAAATATAGTGCTTGTAAAATATTGTTTAGGTTTATTGATTCCTCGCGCGGATGCGAAGAAGGTTCGCGTTGCTTGTATCCGCGCCCACGCGGCTCCACGTGACGACAACGTTTTCGATATATCGGTCTGGAAATGTATCTTCATATTAGCCACCCACGCGAGAGATCGTACCCATTGTTTCACAGGACTATCGCATTAATTTACAAACCGTATGGATACAATTAATTTGTCCAGATCCCTTCTCATTTCAAATGTATTTTACGTTTCAAAGATTATTATTGGTAATTGGAAATGTATACATTTTCTCATCTTACTGGCATTAATACTGGATCTACCAAAGGGGATCAAAATGACTTGTT